TTTCGATACATATGAAAAATGAAAAATATAAAAAATGTTATCATAGGAATTAAATGATTTATAGAAATATATGAAGCATAGAAAATATTTGAGGTATAGGACATGTATAATATTATCGAAAATATACGTTATAGGAAATAATAAATATATTTAAATATGCAAAACGCAAAATGTTCTATGTTTGGTGCGCACGCCATCAAAACGCAACATAAATAAGACAACAGACATATGTAATTGGAGACTGTTTTTCAGTTGGGTCTCGGCGAGCCAGTTGGCCTGTCCTTCGGAGGAGAAAACCACGGGTATCTGCAAAACCGCGAGCCGCATAAATGCAATGAAAAACAATATAGTTAATTATGGAAACAGTGCTCCAAAGTGCACATGCGCTGAACAGAATTTCCAAGGGCCTCAGTTCCAGGTCTCGGGGTGCGCTCAACCAATTGAAGAACAGTTAAAAATGCGGTTAAACCTATTATTAGCTTGAAAGACTTGCGTAAAATTGAAACAAGTAGAGAATTGGGCGCTGACAGAGCCACAAAACTGACCAAAAAAGGGTAAAGCTAAAAAAACCGCTAAAGGCAGTTGGCAGTTTTATAGAGCCTGGCCAAGGGCCTGCCGGGCGCTGGCTGTAGCTGTTAACGGCAACAAAAGGGCAACACAGAGGAACACAGGAATTGAGTGGAATAGAGGGGAAACTGGGGGACAGAGGTACAAGGCTGGCTGGTACAAGTTGCACCCCATTGCGTTTATATTCTGTGAGCCAGGGTAATTATAAAATGTAGTTGTTGCTGCCTGCACGGGTCTGCCAGGGGTTAAGGCGTGTGCATTTTCACACCCGCTTGCCCGCCATGTGTACATAAATGAAACATAATTCTAAAGTTTTTTACAATACGTTTCTCTCTCTCTCTCTCTCTCTGTCTTTTTTTTTATCTTGCTCTTTCGAAGCTTACACACACACATACACAATTGTTTCTCCTTTTCTTGTTCTTTTTTTTTTTTGTATAGTACGATACTTCACTTGTCTCTTGTTCTTCTCTTTTTAATTGCAGATGCCTATCGATCAAGCCGCCAGAGAGGTAAACACACAAGTATAATAAATAAAAAAAAAAAGAAAAAAAAACTATGGCAATCTGTTGAAATCGCAAATCAATCGTACATTGAGCTGTGCGTTCTGTGTGCACTTGAGAGTTTTTAGAGCGAAAAAAATGTTTGTTATTAAATTAATTGCATAATGCGGAAATGGGCCGAACCGCGAGCCCGGATGTTATAGGACCCTAAAAATTAAATAATTAGAGCGTGTTAATGTTTACTCTTTGTATATAAGGATAACACAAATGTGGAACAAGCTACAAAACAGTTTCATACTCTTAACAAATGTGATCTGATGCCCCAACACATTCAATGATATTTTGGAAACTTTCTTTATTTTTCACTCTAAAAATACTCGAGAGCTCAGCCGTTTTTCGTTATTTTGCAATATTTTTTTTAATTATTATATTTGTTTGCCTTTTTGTCGCGACTTCTATTTCATGACAATCTCTACTGACAATTTTGTTATCCGAAAAAAACTATAAATTGACCCGGAAATGAATGAATTCACTTCACTTTTCCCCCCTTATCTGTCAACCCATCCATCCATCAGTCTATCAAGTCTGAGTCCATCAACCAGTTTGTCAGTTCTTTCAATCGATTGATTTGCCAAATTCTCTGGCAAATTGAATTTGATCTCATCTGACGCTTGGCTGTCTCTTTGGTCCGTCGCATTGACCAAAACGTCGCGCCGTTTAGAGTTGCGCGCGGCATCCACAAAGTCAATTCTTGTTGTTGCCGTTTGAGGTGGGGCACAAATCGCTCGTGGATCAACGTTGCTCAACTTGATTTGCTAGAGACACTCCTTTTGACTCGATTCGATTTCGCTTGGCGTGCCTAATAGTGCGACTACGTATGTAAATGAAAGCATTAGGGAAAATATATGTGTGTATGTATAGATATGTGAGATATAGTGAGTGTGTGATAAATGAAAATATTTTACTAATAACTCTATCTAAAACTTATAAAATTATCAACTGCTAATGACTAATTGATCACTAATTATTCATTAACAATTTAAATTTTTATAAACCTAAAAATTACAAAAAAATATATAAATATATTTCATCAAATTTTTGAGATTATTAAATCAATATTAAAATATTTATGCAGTATTTTCAGAATTTGAGGTCTAGTCAAATAAATACAAAAACAATTTCTACATCAAAATAAAAAAAGTAATTCAGAGCCTTTTGCAGACTGTCTGTACAGCTCCATAAATAAAATTTAGTTTTTTCTTTTTAATAAATATAGTTTTGAGAAAAGTAGATTTGCCGTTGCACTGTTTCTGTTAGATAGACGAGAGCTTCAATCTGTAGTTGTTTGATGATACCAATTTGCATTTCTCAAATGCGACTTAATTGAGTGTAACAAAAATAGTAAAGAAAAAAACCAAAGCTAATAGAAATGAAGCAACAATAGATCAATTTATTTTTATAATAAATAATTACAAAAAATACTAAAAAAAAAAAAAAGGGAAAATGCGGCTAATATTCTCTTAGCAGCATTTGCAACTCATATATGTATATGTCTATATATATAGCATATATGTATATCTGTAGTAGAGGACGTTGGAGTTGCAGTGAATGTCTGTGTATCAGCGAGCTGCGCTCTTTGTAAGAAAACACGACACCCAACAACGACGACGACGGCGATGTTGTAGCATGCTTTGTAATTCAGTATGCGAACTAAATGAGTTATTAGCACGCCAATTGAAAATTGAAGTCAACAAAAATCATCAAGAGAAACAAGAAAAGCGACTTGCCTGAGGCGACTAGCCATACGCGCTGGACTGTGAGAGCTGCGCTGGAAAAACGAGAGAAGAAAACAAATTACAAATTGTATGCCCGCCTAAGAAATTGCTGGCCAAAATCCTTAATTAGAGCCGACTACTGCGTATTATTTACACAAATATATATCTTTATGCGAGGTCTGCAAAAAAAACGTACTATAAAATCTGGTTTAGAGACTTTGCTGAAATCGAATTGGAATGTTCAGTTAACAAAAGAGAAATATTCAAATAAGTTTTGTTAACTGTAAACATAAATGTGGTTTGTCTAGTCTCAGCTTCTACATATTTCTAGCTGTCTATTCAAGGTGCATTTGTCAATGGGCAGCAGCAGCTAGTGCAATTTGTTGGCTCCCCACTTTTGTGTTCTCCACAACTCAGTGAACTTAAGCCCCCAATTAGTATTGTGTATCTCCCCCTATATATATGTATTCTCTATGCATTCTTGAAGGGCGTAAAACTATGTGAATGTCGTGTCATTTGTACGTTTGCATGTCGTTTTTACAATGAGTTCCTAGCATTGGCTCTAAGCTCGATAGTTGCGTAAGGCGGCGCTTCATGGAAACTCGCCCCGACTCTGGCTCAATCAATCGGCAAAGAAATTGAAGTCAACTTCAAACGACTTGGAGGCTTCTTCTCAGAAATTTGTGCAGGTCGACTAACTCTGTGAATCGAGTCGTACGAATCAATTTGTTGCCTATGTAGATTCAATTAAAGCCCACTGTTAGCGGCGCATAATTGAAATATGGAAATTTCGCTGGCAATTAACTGCATTGCAGTTGGCGATTTGAACTGCAATCAAATGCTTGTGGATGTGAGGTGGCAACGTCGCAATAAATTTAATTGATTTGCCAATGCGAAACACCAACAACAACAACAACAACAACTTGGCTCCGGGCAGTGGGTTAAGCACAACTTGTGTCTGCTCTGGTCGTTCTACATGCTCGACTCCCAGTCCCATACCCAGTCCCAGTCCCAGTTCGAGTTCGAGTTCTGCCTGTGAAAGCTCCCTGACAAATGCTTGGGCAACGCCCCACAGTTTAGGCAATTGCAATTGCAATTGCATTCATCGAATTCTCTTTTTTTTTTTTGTTTTTTTGTCTTCGTTTTGCTGCTTGCAACACTTTGCGCGGAACAGGACTCGATCACAATTCAATGTTTCACAGATCGGCTGTCCCTTGAGCATTGAAATACACTTGGCGAAACACCCAGCTGCAAACTGGTTCGCTCTCTGCCAGCTAAATGCCCTCCTCAGCCGAGCAAATTGTTATATCGTCTGTATAAGTAGCAACTGCGAACCAGTTTGCATGCCTTGCTTCTCTTTCTCTTCTTCTCTTCTTCCTGACTAGACGTTTGTTGTTGTTGTTTTTGTTTTCTTATGTCCGTCGCTGCAGTTGATTTTTGGGCTAAATTCTCAAGTCAAGTGCATGATCAAAATCAAGGAATTTTTGATCTTGAGTCTAAACTGACAGTGGATTATGTTTATATATACATATTGTGACCCATATTAGGAAGAGATTTAGCTAATGTGATTCTACCTGATTAGAGATTAGTCTGAAGGTGAATGTTTTGTGTGGCTAAATGTGTTGTAATCAAATGGAGCAAGGATATAAAAATATACTTTGTTGAATGTATTGCCAGCTTTAATGCGAATAGAAGAACTTATTGAAATTGGAATTTTTCAGCATATTACTTCATTATTTGTATACCTTATTTTTCTATATATTAACTCTTGGACTGCGTTAGTTAATTAAAAATGAAAGCAAAAGATATACGTTTGCAATTTCTTTAAATTTTCATGTAACAACATTTATATTATTATCATGTATGGCTGTCAAACATTTTTAATTTAAACCGACTTCAGTTGTGTACTAAAAATAATTAGCGAAATTCATATCGGTTTTTCTTTTGTTGAATTGCCCTAAATTTCTATTTGCCATAAATAACATTCTGCAGATGTAAATCATGGAACCTTATCCATAAAGGTATACAAATTGCTTCCAGTTAAACCAATTTCTGACTAGCTCAATCAAAACAGATGTATGTACATAGTATGTACTTGAGAGACAGAGTTACTCCCAAGACATGTTTCAACGGAAGCTAGCATCGGAATGGACGCCTGCTTATCGGTGGCCCTGTTTACAGCAATCAGAATGAGAAAAGAATGAAAAAAAAAAAGAAAAGAGCAGAGAGTGTTGCTAGCAGATGTTGTTTGCTCCAGCTGTCGCCATTTCTTTAGTTTTAATAAATTCATTAACTTGACTGACGCCTGTTTTGCACGTCATAGAGCAACCAAAAACAAAAAAAAATTATAATAATAAAAAAAACAATACACTTTCGCTCGGTTCTTTGCTTTGATTCTTTCGCAACGATTCTAGTAAGTGCATTGGCGCTGGCTCTCTTTACATGACCCGCAAGGCCATGTCCACAGTGTCTCTGTGTATATATGTGTGTGTGTGTGTGCGTATGTGTCATAGGCACAATTAAATCTTCCGAGTCGGCGCTTACATTCAAATATTGATATTTATTGTTGAAATAACTGTAAATATTTGCAATCGTTTTATGGAGTGCAACTCTATCAGGGCAGTAGCAGCAGCACTCGCAGCAGTCGCAGCACTCGCAGCTTTTGCTGGACCCACGCACAATTATAAATTGTTCAATCTGTGCCCACATTGCTACCGGAGTTTATTTGCTTGTTGCTGTTTGCCCCAGGTAAACAACAGGTGGGCACATTTTTAAAAAAATTTTAATTTTTTTTTTTTGTGTTAATTTGGGTAATTGTTAATTGTTGTTGACTGCGGCTACTGGAGATAGTTGAGCTGCACAGAGTCTCTCTATTTGCATTTAGTTTCTGAGTATTTGCGGCAGACGCAGCTAATGTTTGTTAATATTTATCTGAATATAACTTGTTTATCATAAATAGCTGCGCTCTGACTGCTGTGCAAACTTGTTTGTGCCTTAGCCTTAGACTTAGCTAACTAATCGTACGTACGTCAAGTATTTGCTTAAGGCTTACTCAAATATTTTTTAAGCAAATAGTAACAGTTTCTAATGAAAATTATACGAGAATTTTGTTAGAGTCAACTTTGATTTTTTTTTGTATTTATTTTTAAATGTTGGCAATGTAATGAAAATTGTTGAGCTACACAGTTTGTTGACATGTTGTATGCAGCCATCAAAATTTATTTTTATAAAGATCTTTACACTTTTGAATATGAATCAGAGCTTAGGACTATATTACCTTAGATGATTTATTTTAATTTTTATTTTATTACTAACTATAATTTTTTTTGTGCAAATCTGCATATATGGTATTCATATTCATATCTAATAATATTTCATCATTCAATTGTGGTCCTACAACCTGCCTGCTGTTTCTTGTCTTGCTCTTTAAACAGGATTTAGTTATGTGAGAAATGAGAAAATGAAATCAGATAAAATTAAAAAATATTTTAAAGTTCTTATAAACAAATAATAACATGCTCTAAGAAACTCTCAAGCTACACATACATCTATTTATATTATAAATATATATATGTAAATACATATATGTACATATATATGTGTATATATATTTATTTATATACATATATATCTATCTAAGCAGCATAAAATAGCCACCGAAAGTATTGTTGTGTGTGATCTCATTTGCTTTAAGCCCATTTCGTTTGGTGTGCTACAGCTGCTCTATACTGATACCAAGCCAATTGTCATTGCTTTCAACCCAAACAGTAACTCTCTGCAATTCCGCAGTTCCAGACCGGGTAGACCACCGAAACGTGGCCCAGTTGGCCTCTCGCTGCCGCCCACGCACCTAACACAGCATCCCCAGCTGAAGAAGCATAGACTGGACAATGGCGACTATGCCTACGAGAATGGCCATATTAGTGGTAAGTAGAGTTCAATTTTGTCGTTGGCATTTTTGCCATTTGCCTTAGACCAATTTAAGCCCATTCGCATCGAATATCTGTTATGGCCGTCGGCGCCGCCATAATCACGATTTACAAGCAGCGAACAAATCGATTTTACCAATTGCCGAAACGCACTTGAAATGGTAATAAAATCATTTGAGATTCGCAGCCAAGTGGCTTTTGGCTAACTGTTTCACTACTCGTGCAGCCAATTGGAAGTTGCAAAAAAAAAAAGAAAACTCAGAGTGAGTGAGAGAGAGAGAGAGAGAGAGAGAGGGCGAAGTTTGTGTGATTTGTGGATGCCTTGATTATAAGTTTGGCGAACGGATACATATACACAATGCGCAATTGTTTCGGTTTCAGCTACAACTTTGTGCACGTTCCCAACTCTCGGCAGTTGCCAGTTGCGCGAGTTCCCAGCTTCAAGTTCAGATAAATGCCCATTTGTCCAAGGCGAGCAATCAAATCGAAAACGTTTCGACTCGCCACTATGTGATTTGTACAGGAAATCGCATTTAAAGAGTTACAAACAGACATTGCTCGGACTTATGACTGCTGCTCCGACTCCGACTCCGACTGCTGCTGCTGCTGCTGCTGCTGTTGTTCGAATTGTGTTTCATGTCTGTATTCAGGCATTGTAATTATTTTAAGTACTTCAAGATACTTGCCCATACCAAAGTAACGCTCGCAATTAATTGATTTTTACATATTTGTGGCTCTCTATGAATTCCTGAAGCGTCTGACAACTTCGGCCACGCCCCATTTTATTAATGTGTCTGAGCCAACGCACAATATCAGATACATCTATCAAAAAAAGATCTCATCCTCTTTCTTTAGAACCATGCGCCGTCGGCGCCTCTTTACACATAACTCGAAATCCATACAGTTGTTGTTTAGCCAAGTCATTCCTCAATCCCTACAAAGCAGCTGAAAATCGAGAAAAAAAAATCGAAGAAAAAAATTACATCTGAGTGAATAGTGGGGCGTTGATTTTTGAGTGATATTGCACTATTTCCACTAATCTGATGAGCCATTGCAACAAACATTTTGTTATTGCATTGTGAATGCATTAAAAATATAATTTTAGCATTGAAACTATTTAAGGTTTATCCTTTAATACCCACCAAATATAAATATTTAAGCATATAGAAATATAATTATTTACAATTTAATAATATATATATTTATATATTTTTATATGTATTTAATATATTTAATAAATTTATTTAAAAATAATAAAAGGTTTATAAAATTTGATATGATGATCATTTTTGCTTTTTAATGCTTAAAATCTTTAGATTTATTTTTATTTAGAATCTTGTTTTTCATATAAATAAATATGCGAAAAGTTGTTAAAATCAATCATTAAATTTTATTTACTGAGTTCAAATAATATAAATTTCCATAATCTATATTAATTATTGAAACGTTGTCTGCTAACTATTTGATCAATTGTTCATTCTTACTGTGTTCTCTTTGATATAATACAGTGTTATCAATATCAAACTACTAAATGATGAAGCTACGATAAGCTAATCATGCAAACATTTAGTTATTTAGTCATATTTAGTTAATGTTGTCACGAATACTGTCTCAGTTTTATTCTGAATCAATAATACTCAAAGCCTTTCACAGTCTTCGACTATTTCTATCCCGATTGTGTTGCAGATATAAATCGTATGGAAAAGTCGCCGCTGTTGGCCAACGGCTACAATCCTCCACCCATAAACCACATGGCCTTTATGCAAATTAATGCCCATCATCCTGGCGCTGCGGCACTCATGTCACCCGGCATGCCGCCGCACGGGCTCCACGCTCGTCCCGAGAGCCAAATGTTGAAGGCGGCGGCACAAAATGCTGGCATGTCGGCAGCCAATATGGATGCATTGGCTCGATCGGGCATATGGGAGAATTGTCGTGCCGCCTACGAAGATATAGTGAAGCACTTAGAGCGGCTGCGCGAAGAGCGCACGGATGAAAGGCAACAGGCCATATGCGCCGGTGGAATCGATCGCTGCGGCAGTGTTGTGAATGAACGGGAATTGAAGCCGAGAGATCTGAGTTCGCGCAATTGTAAGGCATACAGATGGACGGTGGCTGTTGAGGAAAGTGCTGATAAGTTGTTTCGATTTGCGTACCCCCCAGGCTCCCCCACGCGCCAAAGTCCAGTTCTCAATCTGAGCAAGTCCGGCGGCAATACGGACCACGGCGGCAGCAACTGCGACGCTGGCAGCGAGCGCAGCGATTGCCTCTCGGCAGCGGCATCGCCGCGTGGGTCGCGCAGCCTCGACGAAGGCAGTCGCAGCGTTGGCGGCGGCCCCATAATTGGCGTCGAGGACGACGAGGAGGAAGAGAATCTCAGTGATGAGAACCAATCCGAAGTCGATGAACGTTGCTTGGGCAAAGACGATGAAGGTGAGTAAACTTTGCTTTTCTTTGCGATAAGTAAAAACTCTGACTCTGACTGACTCTGACTCGCTGACTGGCTGACTGGCTGACTCGCTGACTCTACTAACGCTGCTGACGCTGCTTTGTGTGCCTTTTAACAGACTTGAGTGACACGGAGCGTGATAATCTATCCACGGGTTCGGCGGCCGCTACTGCCGCCGCTGCCGCAGCTGCTGCTCACTTGCATCAGCATGCTGCAGCCGCTTCGCACCATCATCAGGCCCATCCGGCACACCATCTGAGCGTGGTGGGCTCGCCGACCGCCGATGTGGCTGCGGCCGCTGCACTGCAGCATCAGCGCGCCCTCAACTACTCGCAGCTAGCGGCGGCCGCTGCCGTGGCCAATGGAGCAGCCGCTGGAGCGAATGCGGCAGCAGCCGCCGCTGCAGCAGTAGCAGCTAACGGACCCTCAACTGCCGGCGGTCGAGCATTGACGCCTAACGAGGCCTTGTTGTCATCGAATGATGGAACTGCGGCAGCCGCTGCCCTCGCTGGCGGATTGGCGCTGGGTCCGCTCGGCCTCGATTCCCATGCCGTTGTGCCCGCCAGCTCTACGGAAACATTGCTGCGGAATATCCAAAGCCTGCTCAAAGTGGCAGCAGACAACGCCAGGCAGCAGGAGCGCCAGCTCAGCTATGAGAAAGGTAAGCCTCAAGAATAGCAAGACCATCACAATGATGTCTTTCCCATATGCTAACTAAATCGTGCTGTTTGTGACCGTAAATAATTTTGCACTCTTCTCTTTCGTTTCTCATTTCTCGTTTCTTCTCATACTTTTCCCCACAGCCGAACTCAAGATGGATGTTTTACGCGAACGCGAGGTCAAAGATTCCCTCGAAAGACAACTTGTCGATGAGCGCAAATTGCGTGGTAAGTTTAGAGACCTAACATAATTATTTATTAACATTTTGTGGCTATTGACTATAATCAATAGTAAATTATATAAGGAAAAATTTAAAGTTACGTGAGTAATTTGCACATTTCTCGAATCGTTGAGCTGGAAAATACGCGTTCTCTAATCGATTACAGAACAATTAACTTATTTAATTAGAAACAAATAGCAAGCAGTTCATTATGAATATGTACTGCATACATATATAATAAATTAGAAAAGTAAAAGTGTTTAGCTTCAATTAAGTGAAAATAAATATCAATGCATACTTCATGAAACAAATGTTCTTCTCCGAGTATTGCAAAAGCGCATCACTTAAGCTCTGGCTAATCAAATCAGCAATCATACAGTCAGTCAGTCAGGGCAAATCTAAATATGAACATTTATGGCCTGTGTCTGTCTATTTATAATTTTGTATGAATTCTGCGTGATATTGAATTTAGCGCCAAGCCAATCCCTTCTGGCAGAAGGAACCGAGTCGTTCCTGTCGCTCGAGAGAATTGCCTATGCCAACTCCAATCGTGCGCGCTTAATGTAAGCTGACTCAAATGACAATGACACCTGATATGTCGATGTCGCTGTGGATGTCGACTGGCCCACTCTTGCGCACTTCTCGTCTTTCTCTGTCGGCGCTCTCTGGTGGTCGTTCAGCTCGTTCGCCGGACTCGAATAGGTTTTAAGTCCGAAAAGCTGCCGTTCTCTCTGGCTCTGGCGCTGGTTCTCGTTCTGGGGCGACCTTTTCAAGAGAAATCACAATTCAAATGAATTTAATATCATTTCATTATTTAGTTACACTCGAACGATTGGCAAAAAGTAGCAACTCCATCGTCGACTACGACAACTCCACATCATTAGAGGCGGCACTCTGTGGGGGGGCGGGGGCACGAGCGCAGGGTCTCTCGACTCGAGTCTTTCCGTCTGGAATTCGAGTTGCTTTTGGTTACAGACAAAAAACTTTGATTTGACGCACACACAAAAATCTTTTAATTGGTTGTTATTATATTTTATGATGACTCCAAAGCAGAGAGTCTAAAAGGGTTGTCAAAAGCTGCGGGTGTGAGAGCTCTGCCGTTAGAATAGAACCTTAAGGGTGAGTCTGTCAACGCGATCTCAACAATTTTTCGATTGTAATAAATTTGTGAAATATGAAACCAAAAACAGTTAATTACTAAGACGACAGGCTATTAAATATCATCCTACTATACCAAACATACAAATTAATTTGTATGCTCCCATTTGATAATTATAAATTATCTTATATACAAATTAATATCAAAGCCAAATTCACATTTGCCATAATTCCTGAGCCAGCTAACATTTTGGGTTTTCCTCGTATATAGCCAACTAATTGTACGATGCCATGTGAGCGCCTTCAAATTATTTTTTGGGGCCGACATTTGGAATAGCCTTCACTTATTTGTAAATGCAAATTTGAATTCCAAAAATTGTTAACTCTGAACTGTAATTGTGGCTGGCTTTTGCTCGCCCTCATATGCGGGGTATATGGGTTTTCATGCATTGTATGTAAGAGATGTAGAGTTATGTAGATAACTTTATTTTTCTCTCTTTAATATTGTAGATATGTGTAAAGACATACATTTGAATGTATAGAAAATCTATTTTAAATCTTTTTAAAATCAGGAATTATTTCAGTGTTTATGTTACTCGGAAATATCGGAAGCTTACAAAATCTTGAAAGCTAGTCAATATACTTTACTTCCACTATTTTTGCATTTTTAAAGTAGAAAACTTTTTGCATATATACAAATCAACTGCAGTTGCTAATTCCACCCATAATAACTCAAGCTTCTTTCAAATTGCGAGTAGCCAATCATTCAGTGAGCAAAACACAATTTATGCCATGTTGAAGGAATTGAGATTTGTGTATGTATGTGTGTGTGTGTGTGTGTGTGGGCCCCATGCCACATTGATATTACTACAGCAACACAGGCATCTAATTGCCATTAATAATAAAGCAAGCCGATAAATATCTTATGGCTGTCGAACATGCCAGCAAATCGGCCATTGCAATGAAAGATTGAGTGCAGCAGAGCAAAAGAAGGAGATAAAAAAATACCAAGAAAAAAACGTAAAATATCTTTGCAAATTTGGTATTCGAATCGATAGGTTCGACTCGAAAATAGCAGACTTCATGTTGTTGCATTTGCTACACCCTTCAAATGACTATTACCACGCTTGACTAACCTAATTAATGCTAATTTGATGATGTACCAGTTTCCCAGACTTAACGGTCGTATGGTAAGAATTAGCACACGTGACGATAAATCGATTGAGTTAATAGACTTTTATATGAGTTCACTAGGCAGAGAGTGTAACTATGTATATATGATGTACATATACATATATGGGAATTGTAATTTATTTATATATGAACATTCGTCTAGGCAGAGGCTTAGATATAAATTAATATTAGGTTAGTTAATCGTTTTTAATCCCTTTTCATTTTCGTCTATTTCACAGTGCTCTATCAGAAGCGTTTTCGACGTGAGCGCAAGATTCGCATTCGATATCAACAGCAGCTGGGCGATGATAGCAGTAAAGGCAACGCAGGGGCGAGCGCCAGCAACGTCAGCTGCAGCGAGGCAGAGCTCGGCGCTGGCAGCGGCACGGCTGATGGCAAGTGCAGCAATGCTGGCAGCGATGGGGCTGAGGCGCCAAAAGGTAAGTGCTGATAAGGCAGAAGAGCAGAAGGCCACACAGACCACAAAAGCATGGCTAACAAAACGTATCCCGTCTATCCCCAACGCCTTTCGCTTTCGGCTCTCTCGATCCTTCCTGCGCCCAACGCTTTGATAACCAACACAGCGCCCTCTGTTTTGTTTTTAAATCCATAGATACTGACTGCGGCAGTCGCGGCGGCAGTGATAAGTCTGACAAGTCCTTGAGCTCCTCGTGTGATGTGACCAGCCAAACGGTGCAAGCGTCCTCCGCCTCGCACTCGGATCCACCCACACACTTTAAACGCGAGCCGCACTCCGACCACGAGGGCTCCATGGAGCGCCAACAGTGCAACAGCGCCACGCGCGACAACGAGCCGCGCTGCTCCAGTCGTGACCGCGAGGACCAACCACCGCCCATTGCTGCCTCAGTGACTGCTGCCGCTGCTGCTGTCGCTGCCGAGGGCAGTCTGGCAGCAGCCGCCGCTGTTGCCGCCGCTACAGCTGCCACTGGCAACGGCAAGGCCACTTGGAGCTATCCAGGCATCGATCTGATGGCCACCGGCGCCTTCTGGCAAAACTATTCGGGTAAGTTTACAACTCTATTTGATGTGAAATGATATATTGTGAACCCTTTAAAGATGAAAGTATATATCAGGCAAATGAGAGTATATATAGATATGTGTACACATTTCAAGTTTGTCTTGATTTTTGAACTCTGTATCCATCTTAACTTAGTTTCTATCGTCACCATCAGCCGGTCATTTATTTATTTCCTATTTCATTACATTTTGAAAGAATCCCTTGCACAGGAGCTGGAAATGGAGCGCAAGACACGCGCTGCGAACGCTGAGCGCGATGTCAAGAGTCCATTGTCGGAGAGACCAACGGCATATTACAAGAACTCGGTGCTCTTTGGGAGCGCTAACTAAGCTCCATTGCGATCGCATTGTTGCCAAGCTGCAACACGGATATTTGATCTCAAAGTGCAATCCAGGTGACAGCATGTGACCGGACCAAATATGCAGAACTCCAACAGTTAATACAGCAATCTTATGTATATAACTACTTATAGGGTATAGTCTATGTTTTAAAACGATTGAAAGAAGTTTGAAAAGCATCACAAATATTTGAAAAAAAAAACAACAACAGCTATTTTGTACATATTTTTACATAGCTTAAACAAAAGAAGAGTAAAGAAAATAAAGTGAAATTTAATTGAATATGTACTTCCGACACCAACATATAAAGCTTAGAGAACGCTTTAGGCATATGGATAGCATAACTAGCATTTTGTACATAGGCATGTAAAGGCTTTTAATTAATATTAGTGCTGGGCTGCCTATTCTTGGCTTTGACTAGTGCGAGTAGTTGGCGAACACACAAACACACACACACACACCCATACACTTTGATCATATAATATAATATTGTATTTAATTTATTACATGTAACTATTTATGTATGTATTCAACTTGGAAAACATTTTAGAGAGCGCTTTATAGTGTTTTAAAAATAGGTATTAAATTATTGGTATTGGCGTAAGTGAGCTGCTGCCGGGCGGAACTAATGTTACGATGTTTTTAATTTATTTATTAGCTTAGAAGCGCATTAATCTATACTAATTTTATAAATTAAACACTACAAGTATTTCATATGCTTACCCATTAAACCGAACAAACAATTTAATATTAATATAAATTAAATTTAAATATATATACATAAATGTATTTATAGTAAATGCAAGAGTTGGGCTAAAATAAAGATTATTAGAAATAAATGCAGTCCCAATTGAAAAATGTGTTATAAACTCGACATTAAATATATATAAACATAAATATATATATATATATTTTAACGCTTCATATGCTATTATATATATATACACTAAAAAAATATAAACATTACATTAACAATAGTCACAATAGTCACTAAACATAAAATCTAAAACATAATAAATACATTGAAACAATAGTGTTAAAACTTATTGTGCAACATTTCTCGCTGCTCGCTGCTAACATTAATAAACAACAATTATTACAATAATACCATTAAAATAATACAGACAACAATTGCAAATATACAAAAAACAAAAACCAGCAACAAGAGAATAGAAACTCTGACAAAAAAGTGAAGTTTAAAGTAATACATAATAAATTATTATTGCAAAAGTATTTCAAAAAATTAATTTCGTTTTCATGTTTGGGTATATTTAATACTTGGTTGGTCCCATTGGAGGAATTAAATCAACGTTTGCCTTAGAATGTGTAGATGAGTGTTACTCATTGACTTTGTAAGGCTCGTTCGGGGTGTGAAAATCGCTAGAGTTAGGAGAAGTATCTTTAAATTTGCTCGACCAACAGGCGCGAGGGAGGATACGTTGAAGTGCGCATGTAAAGCATCCAATCAGTGGGCGTGTCTTTGGATTTTGTGATATTGTAGCCACAGAAAATATATTTGGTTTTTTATTCCTTTCTTTGATGGAACGATAGCTATAATGGCCCATAAGAGTAAGTATGCATATACTTTGCTAGGTAATGTAATAACCTTTCCAATAAATATGTACTCTTTATTATTGATTATTTTTTGTTTTCATCATCAAGTGAGCATTTACCAACAACAATTTTTCAACTGTCAAAATATGTTTCTGCAGTAAAACATCAATCAGTCTATGATGCTATAAAGTATTTCTTTGTTGATTGCATGCAAAAGCAAGAACTTGGTTTGTAAATCCCTGAGGAAAGCACTTGTACTTCCTGATCTTTTAACAGCCCAAGCAATAAGATAGATTGCTTATCTTCATATTAATAAGAGGGTAGATAGAAGTTTTCATTTCAATCAAACGTTGCATTACCTAGGGAATTTCCATGTAAATTGATTATGAATGAATTTTCAGATTTATCATCAGCTAACTCTGAATAGTATTTTTGAAAAGCCAAATCAATATTGTCAATATTGTCATCCACAATTGAAAGGGAATAGATGTAGATCTAAAATTATATTACCTCTACGGTTTGGGCTGTGCCTTAGAGCGAATTTCGATGAAAAGTTGTTTGAGGCATAGTTTAAACTATATTTATGAAAATAATTCTCAATAGATAAACTAGACATGTTGCTTATATAACTTACTGTACTGCCAGCATCCGCATTCATCAAAAATATGGCTCCACTCTTATAGCTGTTGCTAGAAGCTCAGACAATTTTTTCGCTCTATGTTGAGTTTAATGAAATTCAGACTCGTAAAAAAGGAGCGTGATCAATCAGCTAAGGCTCGAAGATAAACCAACATTAAATGCGTGGCGCACGTTCAGACAGACGAAATAAATCGGTAAACGATCTCACGGTTAGAGGATCAGACTTGAACAGTTATCGATCCAAAAATGTTTTGCCTGATGATTTATGCGTCTGGCGTGGCTTAAGGGATCATCAGCTGAAGCTTCACTGACTACAAGATTTGCGCATTCGGAAAAAAGAAAGAAATCAAACGCAAAGCGAAAGCATAAAAAAAAAATAAATAAAAATAAAATAAAAAATAAGAAAACAAAACTACATATTGTAATTATACTTATTGGTAAATTATATTTAATTTACAGTTAAACGATCACGTATGCTTGCCAAATAGCCTGATATACAAAATATTATCTGCCCCAAAAATGCCTTTCGCTCGCTTGACCTCAATTATCGATTTAACTTTATTATTGGTTTAGATTTGGAGTCTTTGATTTGCCACGGTCCTGGCCCGAACATATCGTGTCGATCACCATGCCGAGTCCAAATTAAATGGAATGCTTTTGATTATTGGTCTTCGGCTCATGCATGGGGACAGTGTGTGATACTTGGAGCATATGTCGCGGCATTCGGTATCCAGGCAGCCTGCCAGCCAGGCACGCAGGCAGACGGGCAGCAGCTCTCTTGATTCTCGTTAATTCCTTTTGGGCTAAGTTCAACGTTTAGCTAATTGTGGGTTCCTTCGCCGTTTGTCAGTCCCTCAAATATTTTACCAATCATATTTTGTTATATATGTACATATGTATATATGAGGCTTTTTCTCTCGCCCTAACTTTGCCGTTCTGTAATTCTTGCTTGACATTATATAAATAGCCAAATATATATAGATATATGCCTGTTGGAATAACTAATTAAGTACATAGCTAATAGCATTATAGTATGCATTTATTAATTTATTTGTATTATCATGATATATTGTATTATTTTATTATATACCGCAGCAGTTGGCTGTTGATAAACTGCCATGTTTGCCCTCAATATCTGACTCCCTCATTCGTCTGGCTATAAATAACGACTGACCCACAGCCAATGCTGCTTCCACGCTGAACCCACCTCGATTGCTACGAGTGCAATGGTATGAAAAACAAATAAAACCAATTATGAAAGCCATCTGTAATTGCTTAGTAACAATTAAAAGAACAAATTTATTTAATGTATCTTCGATTGAATTCTGCTTATTTTTTTCTGTTGTGTACTTTGTGCACTCGTAGTGCATCGTGGATAAATTATATCAGTGCATTCAATCGACCGATTGGCTTCATAGCGATTGTCGATGGCTTTTTTTTTCTTTTTTATTTCATTTTCATTTGTACTAGAGGCGTGTCGCTTCAGCATCGTTAGGAAATAAATTGCATAGACTGGGTATTGGGAACTGAACGAATGCTTTTGAAACTGGGTACATTAAGAATATCCATTGCCATTTTCTAGTTAATATTTATTATATTAAAATATTGTGCACACTTATTTGAAATCTGGTAATATACTACCATTTAATACATTCAAGGTTGCTTCAATGTTCACATTCTCAGCTCGTTTCATTGGATAGAGTATCAGAGCATCATTGAATTGATTTTGTTTAGCGAGTTCTGCTTCCAGTTCGCGTGTTGTGCATCAATTGCCGAACAGTGTTGCATTGCGTTGCCAACTAATTCGATTTGTTTGACTACAAAGAAAAGATCGAAGAGCGCGAATTCTTATACATGGTCTCATAGGATACAAAAATAAGGTATATTAGGTGTTCAGCAGGGCTAAGCATCATTAGAAGTTATTTAGAAATTTGCAAATCGGAAAGAAGGGATCGATGATAGAGAATATTCCTCTTCACGAATAGCATAAATGGATTGATTGCATGGCCACAGTTAGAGCTCTCTACTCCACAGCTCAGAAGCAATCATAAATATTGATTTTATCGGCAAAGCGACTCCAAGTGCAGCATTGCGCAGTCGGCTACAGCCGGCTTGGTTGGTTGCTTGTAGGACGATTTGGTAAGGTCCCTGGCAAACATATGTTGCATTAATTGTTCATGTTTCTCAAAAGCAACTCGTGTTCAATGAGTTTTATTGCTGCTCAACACACAAACAACAACAAAAGCGAGAGGAGCAGAAGGAGGAGACGGGGATGAGGAGAAGAAGGAGCGAGAGGAGGTGGCGAAGAAGCACGAAACAAATGAAAAGAAAAATTGCACACAGAACATTTTTCATTACTTGATTTTCAAGCATGCCATGAACGAGAGTTGTAAGAGGAGGATAGATACTCGAGCGTTATAAGTGGCGACAGCCGGCAAGCATCCCATGTACGTACACACATGCACACATACATAACATATGTATATAGTACTATAACTACTAAAACAAAGGCAGCAGCGAAAGAAGAGGTTTATTTAGGGTCGTCGCCAAGCCGTAAGGATCGACATCACCTCGTCTGCATTCCCACACGCGATCCCAATCGCAATCGCGCTGGCCTATCGCCGTGCCGCTTTAACCCACCAAGAATCAGCAGCAACAACTACAACAACAACAAGTTTCTATGAGCTGCGCGAATGGTGAAGCGCGACTCAATTACAATTTATTAAAAGACGCGCAACTGATTTATAAGCGGAGTCCAGAAAAAAGGCCTTTTGGGCCAATGTTTACGTGTCTGGGCCGATGACGTTTTCTTGCTTAGCTTGTTGTTCTTATGCTCGTTCACAAATTGAACAGAGTCGTTTGGTTTTTGCTGTTTGAAAACGAGAGA